AAATTCCGGCTACTCAGAAGGTTGAGGCGGGAAGGATCGCCGGAGCCCAGCAGGGTCGAGGCTGCGGGGGCCGGGAGCGGCCACTGCACTCCAGTCTGGGCGACAGAGTGAGACTCCAACTCAAAAAAAAAAGTTAGAACTTAACAATAACCTACATCTAGCCATGAGATCCTCACTCACACACACATCCATCCCTCTACTGAGATAGGTAAGGGAGCAAGTCTCTCTTGTTTTATTAATTCAACAAATATTGACTGTACATATTTGATAGATCATGAACTATGCTAGAAGCTCCCCACCAAGTAAAGTAAGATCATCCTGATTCTCATGTTCATTATGCCCTTGCTTCTTTATAAAAAGATTCCATGCTATCTGAAATATTTTGGGACTTACTTTTTCCTTAAATATTAACTGGTTAATGCCATCCATATTATTTTGTGTCACTGCAGTTCATTTGTTTTGACTACAGCACAATATTCCATTGTGTGAATATACCACAGTCATCTTCTTAAAGGCTGACCTGAGACTGAATCCCAAAACTAAGATGTGCTCATTAACTCTTTCATTCGACAGATATGTATTTAATACTCACTGTGTACCATGCACTGTAGAAGACCTCAGGAATGCAATGATGAACAAGATAGTCACAGTCCCTGTCACTCTGGCTTTCAGATTTGATTTGGTTTATTTTTTCTTTCTCTCTTTTGTTTTCAGACAGGTGTGGAATTGTTTCCACAACCACTACTCAGGGGATAACCATTGAAAACATATTAGCCACTGTTGGGTACTAGAGTCACCTCAGTTCAGAGATAAGGAATCCAAGGCCCCAGACTGTGCAAACTATAAGCTTCCTTTGTTCCCTCTCTGCCTCAGCTTCTAGCACAATTCCGAGCCCATCAAAGGTGCATGTTCAATATTTGTTGAATAATAAACAAAAGAAACTTACCCTACCCACCGCAACTAAGGCATGCATGCATGCACAGGTAGACTCAGTGGAAAAGAATGAATTGACAAGGAAGGGCCTATCAAAGAGACACTCTCAGTATCCCTCCAATGTGCCCCTCCTCTAGCCTCCCACAGCTCAGCAAACACCCTCTCACCTGCATACTAAAATCCAAGTGCATCAAAACCACAGGTGAAGTATATTGCCTGCATCTTCCAAATATCATGGGGTCTTTCTACTACCAGCCTTTTTCTCTCTCCACATGTACTCGCCTCGCTCCAGTCATCCTGATCTCTATTTTTCCTCCAACACCCCAAGCTTATTTTTGCTTGCTTGGCTCCTTCCTGTCCTTCAAGTCTCAGCTTGGGTGTCACCTCCCAAGAGAAGCCCTCCCTAACCACCCCAACCCCCGCCCTAGGCCTCCCACCCTCAGTCTCCATTCAGGTGTTGTCCCCTCTCCCCTGCATTACTCTTTGCTTAGCACCCAGCCCTCTATAATCTTTTCTAGTTTATGGCCTGTCTTCTCCCTCCTCAGACTCTGCCCTCTCCCCTGAAATGGAAGTTTACTAAGGATAGGCTCTCAGTTGTCTTACTTGGGCACTATTCCCATCCTGCTGTGATTATTTCTTGTCTTTGAATCTTCCTGGAGTAGTGTACAATGTAGACAATCTACAAACATTTGTTTAGCTTAATAATGAATTATTTAATGCTATTCATCTTGGTTATCAGACAGTTGTTATCAATACTTTTTACCCTTGACTGCGTTCGATGAAAGAACTTTGTAAACTGCTCTGCACCAAGTGTGTGTGAGTTACCATTGGTATGATGATTATCTGACTCTGCAGCCACGACAGTGCAGAGTCTCCCGATTCATTTTCCTCTTCAGCCTGGAAATAGGCCCCTCCGTCCAGCCCTGGCGAGATGGCTGGGAATGAACTTCAGAGCAGGGTCCAGAGTTCAGTCCAGGTCACAGTCATTTACTGAGTCTTTACTAGATCCAAGGCTGATGCCAAATACCAAGGATACAAAGGCAGTAAGAAAGAGGGACCAATACAATGATTATTTGTCAATTAAAAACAAAATTTTAATTAAAAAAAAGGAAATGAAAGAAACAGTGACCGCCTGACAAGAGAAGTGTTGGGATGAAGACTTATACCAAAGGCTGCAGATATGCAGAGGACAGGAGGGCGGAGGGAAGAGCGCCCCCTCATGGGAACTTTCCACCAGCTAGGACATCCTCACTGTAGCTCCTTGAAGTAGGTGTTACTTCCTCCACTTTAGAGAGGGTATGCCCGAAGCTCAGAGAGGTTAGGATCTTGTCTACATATATACAGTTAAAAAGAGGCAGGGTCTGTACTCCAACTCAGTTCCTACAGACTCCAGATCCTGGCTGTATGCTATACCACCCAAGGCCAGACACGTCCCTCCCACCAACTACAGGCTGGCTTTTGGGAGGAAAGGAAGGAGCTCCTCCTCCCAATTGCTGTGTCCACTTTGCTTAGCCATGAGAACAAGTAACCCCCAAAGACCCCTTGCCATATCTAATCCAGGACACCTGCCCAGAGGCTAAACAAGGCAGTCTCGCTCCCAAGTGGTACTGGAAGAAGATCCCAGCCAGAAATGTACAGCGTCCTGCAGCTCCTCCAAACACTAGGGCTGGACATGACCTCAGCACAGCAGGGCAGGCAAGTTGCTGGGTGCAGACCTAGCCCACAGGCACAGCTGCTGCTCCTGCAGCCTGGGGATTCAAATCCTATGCAGACTGGGAAAGGGAAGAAAGAGAAGGAACGTTTCTGGGAGGCCCGAGAAAGTGAGGGAAGGGTTGAGAGAGCAGGAACATGGGCAGCATTCTCCCTTTAATCTTTGTCTGGCAGGAAGGGGTGAGCATGTTCCTTGTATGTGAGCCTTTGTGTCAGCAGCCCCTGAGTGTGACTTTATGTGGATGTGTGTGCACTGAGTGTATACATTAAGTGGTGTGAGCAAGTGGAAGACATGCCTTTGCGTGTATCTGTGGACATGTGTCGATGGTTACCTAAGGCCTACTCTCAGAAATGCCATAGTAGGCCAGACTCGGTGGCTCAGTCTGTGATCCCAGCACTTTGGGAAACCAAGGCAAGAGGATTGCCTGTGCCCACAGATTCGAGACCAGCCCAAGCAACTTGGGAAGACCTCGTTTCTACAGTAAATAAAAAACTAGCCAGGGTGGTAGCACGTGCCTGTGGTTCTGGCTACTTGGAAGGCTGAGGCGAAAGGATCGCTGGAGCCATCAGTCAATGCTGGGGTGGCCATGAGTGTGACACTGCACTCTAGCCTGAGCGACAGAGTGAGACTCCATTTCAAAAAACAAGCAAACAAGCAAATGCCATAGTGTTCTGGAAGTTTTTGGTTTTATTTGTCAGTTTGTTTTATTAGGTATAGCACATGTTTCATAAATCACTCAAATATAGTCTACCACTCAATGAATTTTTACACATACAAACACCTACACAACCAACACCTGAAACAAGATCTAGAAGTGTTCCAACATTCCAGAAGTCTCCATTGTGCTCCTTCCAATAACTACCCACTTCCCAAGTAGTAAGCATTATTCTGACTTCTATCACCCTAGAGTAACTTTATTTTGTGTTATAAATATGGAATCATACAGAGTATATTTTTTTGTGTCTAGTTTCTTTCATTTGTTATTATGTCTATGAAATTTATCTATGCTGTTACACTTAGCACTAGTTTATTCCTATCTGTTGCTGAATTGTATTCCATTATATGAATACACCCCAATTTATCTACACCAGTGATTGACATTTGAGTTTTTCCAGTATTTAGCTATTATGAATGAAGTGACTATGAACATTCACACACAGGTTTTTTGTTTGCTTGTTTTGTTTTTAGTTGGAGTCTCTCTCTGTGGCCCAGGCTGGAGTGCAGTGGCATAATCATGGGTATCATAGCCTCAACCTGCTGGGCTTAGGCAATCCTTCCACCTCAGCCTTCCAAGTAGCCAGAACCACAGGTGTGCTCCCACCATGCCCAGCTAATTTTTTTATTTATTGTAGAGAAAAGGTCTCACCAAGCTGCCCAGGCTGGTCTCAACCCCCTGGGCTCAAGCAATCCTCTTGCCTTGGCCTCCCAAAGTGCTGGGATAACAGGTGCCCTGCCCACATACAGGTTTTTTTGTTTTTTCTTTGCTAGACATGAGCACTCATTGCTCTTGGCCATGCCCTGAAGCGGAATTGCTGAGTCAAAGAACCATAGAATAGTTGTCTGTTTCCATTAGTGAATTCAACCAAACCATCTTCCAAAGTATTTGTACCAATGTACACTCCCACCAACAGTGTATGAGAGTTCTAGTTGCTCTACATCCTCATTAACACTTAATACTGTCAGTCTTTTTCATGCTAGCTATTCTGGTGTTTATGCAGAGATGGTTCATTGTGGTATGAATTTGCATTTGCCTGAGGGGTAATGATAATAAGCATCTTTGGATACTTATTGGCCAGTTGAGTATCCCCTTTTGTAAAGTGTCTTCTAAGGTTTTACAGAAATGCATTTTATCTGTAAAAATAGACAAATTATTGACAAAAACAGATAATAGAGAAAATCATCTTGAGGAATTTAGCAATGCACACAACAACCCAGCAACCATTTGCTTCTCCAATTGCTAACTAGCTGCTGCAATTAGCAAACTAGTTAAACCACATCAAATGGGTGCATGACTAAATTTTTCATTTTTAATCAATTATTTAGATATCGCTGAGACCCCCAACTTAGATGTAGCAGGGAAAAAGGAATGCAAATGAGAACCAAGAAACTCCTCTCGACTGCTAGCTCACACCTGAGTTTCCCTCATTCAACTCATTGCCTTTTTCCTTCAATTGCAGGATCCCGACAGTGATCAACCCCTGGCCAGCCTCGGTAAGCTCAGGTCCAGCTTTCCCCTGTCCACCTCAGCCTCTGCATTTCAGTTACCAAATAGATACCAAGCCACATTTGCATGACCCTCACCACCAACACCAAATGCTAAGTGCCGTGGATGACATCCAACTACCCATCCATCATTCAACAAACATACTAACTATAAGTTCCAGGACTCATCCTAGAAGTAGGAGGCCTGATCTCTGGGGGAACAAGGCCAACAAACCTAAAACCCCAAGAGCAATGATTCTCCAATTCATTCATTAAGTTACTTGTTCTTTTATCCTTTCTTTTTTTTTTCTTTTTTTTGAGTTGGAGTCTCACTCGGTCGCCCAGACTGGAGTGCAGTGGCCGCTTCTGGCCACCGCAGCCTCGACCTGCTGGGCTCCGGCGATCCTTCCACCTCAGCCTTCCGAGTAGCCGGAATTACAGGCGCCGCGCTACCACACCTGGCTAATTTTTGATTTATTGTAGAGATGAAGTCTCGCCAATTTGCCCAGGCGGGTCTCGAACCCCTGGGCTCAGGCAATCCACTCACCTCAGCCTCCCAAAGGTGCGGGATTACAGGCTGAGCCACCGAGCCCGGCTCTTTTATCCTTTCAATACAACTGTAAGTGACCACCATGTGCCAGGCCCTAAGTGTTGGGCTACTGCAGTAAGACAGTCACAAGGCCTCTGTCCTCGTGGAGTTCACAGTCTGACCATGCTGCCAAGAAACAAGCTGGACAAAGGCATTTTCCCTGGTAGGAAAGAAAATGTAGTGTCTGTCTGATTTACAGAAAAGAAAAATTAGTTAATAAATAGAATGATCCCAAATTTAAGAAGTTTTCTGGCCGGGCTCGGTGGCTCAGCCTGTAATCCCGCACTTTGGGAGGCCGAGGTGAGTGAATTGCCTGAGCCCGTGGATTCAAGACCCGCCTGGGCAACTTGGCGAGACCTCATCTCTACAATAAATCACGTGGTAGCGCGTGCCTGTAGTTTCAGCTACTTGGAAGGCTGAGGCGGAAGGATCACCAGAGCCCAGCGGTTTGAGGCTGCGGTAGCCGGGAGTGTGCCACTGCACTCCAATCTGGGCGACAGAGACTCCAACTCAAAAAAAAAAAAAGAATTTTTCTAATCCGTTATGTTTTCTTAAACCATTGATATCTACTCCTGATAGCCTGCTAGGTCAGCAAAACAAATGAGCAAGGGGCAAATCAACATGAACAGGTCAATAAGAAAATAACAAATTTCACTTACTTTGACAGCTTATTTATTTCTTGGTTCAGTGTCACAAGTTAGTAAGGATCAGGAATGAAGTACTCTTCAGCAAGCAAAACAATGCCTAGTTTGTACTTTGGAATTTAATATATCAAATAAGAGATCAAATATACCAGGATTCCAGGTGTTCTACCATCTCAGTAAGCCTGCAAACTAGCAAACAGAAAATGAGCTGAATTGCTAGTAATGTCTGAAGATGTGAAGGGAGTTTGGGCTGGAAAGATTAGGGCTGCTCAAGTGGTCAGGGACAGCACCACGAGTCAGGCCCCGCAGGTTGAGCAAACGATCATAAAACAGAAAGGAGTGAGGGTCTCCGTAGTGGAGGGAAGAGTCCAAGCTCTTCAGACTCAGAGGTAAGAATTCACATGGGTTGTTGGAAGAACAGGGAGTGGATCTACCTTAGCAGAACTGGGCGTTGGTGAGGACTAGCACTGGGAGTTTATTTGGCTGAGAGACTGGGGCCACATTACACTGGCTCTGAAAACCCAGAGAGGATGCAGTCCAGATGTGGAAGTCATGGGGAGCCCTTGTAGGCTCTCGAGCAGGGAAGTGACAGAAGGAAAGCAATCTTTTAGGAAGCTCCGACTAGCAGCAGTGAGTGGGACAGGCTAGAAGAGGCTGGAGGTGACCCGGGGGGGTGTTCATAGCGTAGTGGGTTCGCTAACTTAACCTAGGTATGAAAACCCTTCCCTTCCTCATGAGGAAAGCAGGTCCTCCCTGTGAGAACATCTGAGAAGCAGAGAGGCTTTGGGTCCTGGACACAAGGACTTGTGGCTCTCTGTAGGCCGTTCACTCTCTTAGAAAACAAATACATATCATGTCCCCAGAGGTAGGTGCTCAACACGTAAATCATGCATGATGAATGAACAAAATGTCATTATGGCCATGGCCGAGGTCTTTCTGAAGACTGGCTGCTGGAACTTTGAAAATAGTATCAGCTAACATTATTGACAATCTGATATTATTGCCAGGTCCTAGTAGTCTCAGGCAATACCACTTCCAGGCCACATCCCCAATGCCTGGTCTCTGTGGCTGAGGGTTTTAGGAAAACAAAGTTTTGTAAGCTCTTCCTTCTCAGCAAATTCGTTAATATCAGCATGTATTGGGCACCAGTCTTCAGCAGGATGCTGTTCTCTGCTTTTGAAGAGCCGAAGACAGGGATGGAAACAGATATGTGGCTAGCCATCATTCAAGGCAGAATAACATGAGACCTGTAAGGAAGATGAAAGGGATGTGCTCAAGAGAACAGAGCCAAGAACAATGCATATGTTCATGCGACAAATATTTCTTGAGTGTCTGCTATGGGCTAGACACTGTTCTAGGCACCAGGGATGCAGCAGTGAACAAAACAGACCTAACGTGCTGCCTTCACGGAGTCTTCATTTCAGGGAGGGGTAAGAGTCAGGAAGGAGGAGTGAGAGGAGACAGTATTTAAAAAAAAGTCAAATACAGAGTATGCTAGAGGTGATGAGTGCTTTGGAAGGAAAGAAAGCAAGGAAGGAGAATGGGAAAGGTTGGAAAACTGCATTTTTTTTTTTTTTTGAGTTGGAGTCTCACTCCGTCGCCCAGACTGGAGTGCAGTGGCTGCTCCCAGCCACCGCAGCCTCGACCTGCTGGGCTCCAGTGATCCTTCCGCCTCAGCCTTCCAAGTAGCTGGAACTACAGGCGTGCACTACCACGCCCGGCTAATTTTTTTATTTATTGTAGAGATGAGGTCTCGCCTGCCCAGGCGGGTCTCAAACCCGCAGGCTCAGGTAATCCACTCACCTCAGCCTCCCAAGGCATGGGATTACAGGCTGAGCCAGCGAGCCCGGCGGAAAACTGCATTTTATTTTATACTTTATTTTTTTAGAAATCAGGATTTATTGAGAGGACAGAAAAGCTCCCACAGTGAGAGGTGACCTGAGGGGGTTGCCTGTAAAATTGCATTTTAAATAGAGTGATGCAGGAAGGCCTCATTAGGAAGGAGACAGTGAAGAAAGACTGGAAGGAGGTGAGGGAGTTGGCCATGTGGAGGTGAGGGCTAGGAGGGTGGACCTGTTGCTTCCCAGAGTTGCCGTAATTCCTGCCCCGCCTCTCCCCAGGGAGAAGTACCCCAGGGTACCTCCTCAGCTTATTTTCCGTAAGAAGAGAGGACTCAAAAGAACCTAGCTCCAATACTTACCGAGAATGTAACTTTTCAGACCCTTTCCCATGCTCCTTCTCCTTGGATAACTGTGTGCAACAGACAATGTAGTTATTATCACCTCTGTTTTAGGCAGTGATAGGCTCCTACCTTGCCTCCCTAACCCCAAACTCTTTGTTCTAATCCACCTCCTCCCTGATGAAAGATTCATCTTTCTAAAATTAATTTGATCCTGTCTCTTCATTGCTTGGGATGGCTTCTCACTACCTTCAGGATAAAATCCGAACTCCTTAGCTTGCTGTTTAAGAGTCCCCACATCGGCCTTCGCTGGTCCTGCCTGTATGTCCTCCCTTGGTATTCCGAATACACCAAGTGGCTCACAGTTCCCTGCTCCAGGCCTTTGCTGCAGCTGGGCCAATGCCCCACTTCCCTCCCTCCCACCTCTTCCTGTATATGTGTTACCCTGAGATTTTTCTCCAGTCTACCTTTGATGGTGTCTCTGTTATAACATATATCATTTTTTAACCTGATGGAACTGGCATCTGTGGCCTCTTCCCCCCAGATTGTAATCTTCTTAGACAAGGAGGGCTTTGCTGGGGACCCACTGTTTGTTGGATTGAGGACACATAACAAGTGTCATTAACAATTTGTTTTGTTTTTGTTTTTGTTTTGAGTCAGGGTCTCACTCTGTTTCCCAGGCTGGAGTGCAGTGGCACAAACATGGCTCACTGCAGCCTCGACCTCCTGGGCTCAGACTATCCTTCCACCTCAGCAACCCTCATCCCAGTAACTGGGACTATAGGCGTGTATAACCACACCCAGCTAATTTTCTGATTTCTTGTAGAGTCAAGGTCTCGCTATGTTACCCAGACTGGTCTTGAACTCCTGGGCTCAAGCGATTCTTCTGTCTAGACTCCCAAAGTGCTGGGATTACAGGCACGAGCCTCCATGCCTGGTCCATTCTTAAGTATTTATTAAGCCCCTACTAAGTACGTACTATGTGCTGGAGACCCCTGCCCTCCTGGAGCTTATAGCTTAATCAAAAGGTAAGTCAGGAGGTCAGGACAGGGATAAATGATGGTGCAAGGAATGGGGACATGCCAAAGTACATGCCCGAGGGCCTCAGGCCTCTCACAGGGCGGGTGCAGGTCACATTAAACAGGGGGAACATCCTAGAACAGGCTCAGGCAAGATGGGGGGGGGCGACCGGGGCTCAGGCTCCTTTGAGGGCACTTGCGAAAGATAGGTGAGCCAGGGTAAGTGAGAGGAGATGGGGTGACCATGTGCTGATAAAGCTAAGACTAGTCTGCAGAAACAACCCCCCAGCTTGAACCAGAACTGTCGCCAAGGCATTCTTTTTTTTTTTTTTTGAGT